TCTTTCATCCTTGTATTTGTGTTGGATTTTTAAAAAGTATAGTAATCATCCAGAAGTTATGGTACATACTTCTTTTCTCTGAAGAAGTCTTTATAAATTTTGTTTTACAAAGAGGAAAATAACACAAAGGCAAAAACAAGACAATAAAAATGATGTCAAATTTCAAAACAGGGTGGTAGGAAATTAACAAAACCCAGACTGCAAGGGAAATATCAGAAAGAATTAACAAATGGGTTCTCACCAAAAAACTTTTGCACAATGAAATCACCAACAAAGTAAAAAGACAACCCGCAGAGTGGGAAAACAAGTATTGCTAGCTGTCCCACAGACAAAGGACTTACATCAAAAAGTCTTAGTGAATCTCAGAAGAGTAGAAAAAACAAAATCTATTTTTGTTAATGAAAAATGCATCATATATATATATATATATATATAGAGAGAGAGAGAGAGAGAGAGAGAGAGAGAGATGGGGTTGGGAGGGAATCTGATACAGGAATACTCATAAGTAGCAGTGGGAGGGGACTGGATCCACCTGACCCACAGGCTTTGCTGTAAACTCCACAAGTCCCTATGCCTAATTAAAGAAACATTCTAGATCTTTCTGGTGGCCAAGGACTTGAAATTTACTATATTGTGTGCTTTGATGAAAATTTAGGGTATTTTACTAGCTGGATTAAAAACTGTAGTTTACATAGAGGGCTATAAGTTTTGTTTTCTTTACATGACTTGTTTTAAAAATCATTTTGATCATTGTATTAGTTCTTAAGGTAATCTTTTCTGGTTTGGGGCTATTATTAGAGGTAAATTTCTAAAGCTTTGTGTCTTATTGAATTATTAGGCATCCCATGTGCTCCAAATCTTAAGTAACATTTGATACACAAATGATAACTAGTTCAGGATTTCATAAGAATCCCAGCTTAGGGCCACATCATGTCCTGAACTGTAGCTTGGTAACCACCTGTGATTCTGTAAGGTACTTTTTCTTTTTTATTTACATACTTATTTTATTTTTTTTCCACTGCTGAAGAGTGAGCCCAGGGCCTGCGACATGCTAGGAAAGCACTTTCCACTGAGCCCATCCCATCTGCGAAGTGCTTTTTCTATGTGCTCCAAGACCCTCAATTGCCACAGTGCACATATTCTATTTGCTGTATTCAATTTCAACTCACCTACTCCAAACTGTCAATGAAATTATCTGCAGAAACCTGTCTTTCACTCCATGCAGCCTCCATCAGAATGTATTTCATGTGCAGTTAATTATTACTGTGGATTATGTGGAGCACAATTTATATTCAGAACTTTTATCTGCTGCTCACTATAACTCCTGACGAGTCTTGCAGAACACTAACAATTCAAACTTCTCTTAAGTTTAATACACTCAAAATCCATCTCAAGCCAGAGAAAATTACATTGTTGTGTCACTGTTCCAAGACACAAAATATGTTTTGTGAGACTCTTTGGCATTGAAGTTTTGGTTACAAATTATTATTTTAAAAAAATGCATTCAAAATCTAAGGAGGAATATGCAAGGAACTATTTCAAAAGGAGTCTATATTATTTTCATGTATATCAGTACTTGATCCAATGAGGGTCATAATTTCAAGTTGCTAGCAAGTTTTTAGTCCATTACCACTTATTTAAAATTCTTATTATTGTTGCTGTTTCTTTTTAAAGGGCCCGAACAAAAATAGTTTATTCTGTGTATAGTCGAAAATCTGCAAAAGAAGTGAGAGATAAATTGTTGGCATTACATGTGAACTATTATATTTTAGAAGAAGCCTGGTGTTTTGTGAGAACCAAGTAAGTATTCGCACCGGGCCATCTGATGTGCCACCGTGCCATATTTGAAGTAACAAGTATTTCATTTTATAACAGTAGTCCTGATTTGCTGATTCAGCAAGACTTTCTATTTTAAATAAATTTAATTAAAATATTACCCGGATATTTTAATTAAAATCATTTCACCTAGAGAAGTAATATTATATCATCATTTAAGCAGAATGTTTTAAAACTATATTAAGCATCTTGAATTTCTATTTAAAATATTGTTTTATATTTTATTTCATTGAGAAATAAATATCAATGAGAAGTTTCAAAGCTGATTAATAGGACATGTTCAATAATTAATACATTGTACATTGTTATCTTCTTAGTGGTTATCCATAGTACAAGAAGCAGACAGGATTTCCTGTCCAAACACTATTAGTACAAACCTTTCTTCTCATTGGATTAAGCGAAAGTAGCTGTATATCTATCCTACTATTCTGTATATACAAATACAAAATGGTCCTTCCTTTGTATCCCCTTTTTTTGTTTAGTCCTGTCAGAGATGGGAATTCTATTGGCATCTAAATACTATAGGTGCTTAAATTCAGCAAAACAATCCAACACAGTCAAGCAGTTCACAATAGTAGTGGATTATCCGCAGAAGTTGTTGACTAGAGCCTTTTACAGCTCAGCATATTAATAGGGCTTTGCTTTATATACCTCATTTTTATACTTTTCTGCTGGATGGTTAAGACTAACACAAGCCCAGTCCTAGCCCAGGTCCGGTGAGTGTGTGGAGAGCTTCCTGCTACCCTGCGCC